ATCGAACTATAATGGACCAAAAAGGCAATAACGGTAAGGAAAACAACAACGCGGAGCTATGAGCGTTGTTACCAAAGTCAGGGTTACATTAATAGGCAGACACACTAGCCGACAATTAGTCTACGATCCCGGCCCTCGTCACAGAGATTTCACAGGAAGCGGGTTCAGCAAATCTGGCGTGATTGATATAAGAAAAACCCACAATTTTTATTTGTTTTAACAAATATTTAGGAACAGATGAGCACATTGGCGGAGCTTGTAATGTAGGGTTCGCCACCTGTTGGATAGACTGAATTTCTTGCTATCACCAGTAGCGTGCGCGTAGCGGGCGACACGTGTGTCAGACGACACACATAGCAGACTACGCGCGTAGCAGACGACAGACGAGCGCCGCGATGACATGATGCGCGCGATGAGGAGGTAATCTCACCGCCCGCGTAACACGCATGCCCAGCAGTTGCGCGCTTGACCGGTAGAGCGCTCTGATAGGGTACGATGCCATGCGCTCCCGTGTTCCCGCTAACTCGGATCAAGATAGTACATAGTTTTTTCTTCCCCTCCAAAAATGTAATTCTTTGCCTTAAATTTTTGTGGAATAACTATAACAAGAAAGCTAGATATAAATTTACAAAATGAGTGCATGAGCTTCCATTGCATTGTTGTGAATAAGCTGAAAATTTGTAAAAGCTTGATTTTAGTTCTGCGGAACAAGAGTTCTCACAATCAAATATTTCTATGAATGAGCTTGGGGAAAACATGTGCTAATTTGCTTAATCGCTAACAATACAGGCCTTTTCTGTAGGGCATGCCTTTATTGTGTTCTAAAAGTATTTCTGGTGAGGTTCTTTGAATTCATTTACTAGAAACCTACAAGAAGGCCCTCAAGAAATCTCGGCTAGCCGAAGAAACATCAACACTTGAAACGTCGGAGTTTTCAGGTGTGTATTAATTTGCAAATGTCTTGGAAAATTGTTTTGAAGCAGAGAAACATATATTTAATGCAAGGGCATCTTTGCTTGTTGAAATTCCAGCCCCGGAGGCCGAAACTCCTGAGGATGTCTTCACAACCTATGACGATGCGCCATCGCACCGTCTGGCCTTGCCCTCTCCACGTAAGTTGAATAAATATTGGTAATGTAGGCACATACACTAACTTCGGTCTCCTTTAAGGTATCTAAACTTATCTAAACATCATTGCATTTCTGAGCTAGCCTTGTAGACAGCCAGCCATATGGCTAGGAATTGCTGGAATAAAGCAAGCCAGCCAGTGAGGGTCTTAATGCATTGACTTCAGATGCAGTTAAACACTTGAGCTGTGGTTGACGTGGGTGACTTGTTGCAAACTGCAAGCCAATGTTAAAGTGCAGCAAATTTCATGGCTCACCAACATCTAAGGCTCTTATGTGCAAGACATAATTCTTATATGTGCCATGCAGGTGCTGTGGAATTACTTATTAAACGCTATGATATAACTGAAAGCAATTTGCAGTTGAAAACTTGCTTAGGGTGAATTTCTGCATATGTATATATGCTTCAGGAAATAGAAAAATTTAAAACCATTTGAAATGTGGGCATATGCACAGGTGTGTGATATATTTGGTAGATTACATGTCACCATAGAAATATTAGTTTCATTTCATGTGCATATGTTTTTATCTATTGCTTCACATTCTCATGCTTCTCTGTGGATCTCGTCTTTCGGTTACAAATGAGGCAGTCACCGGGTTTAGTTGCAACGGTTTGGTGACTTTGCCTTCAGGCCTCACCCCGAGCCACTTGTTTCAGCCAAGTCTGAAACAAAGACTAACTAGACCTGCTGTTGGACTAGCTGGTTAGAGTCACCTGAACAGATCACAGCACTAGAAAGGACAGATACAGAGACACACCACAACAGGATGAGTGCTACACAGTCATCTGGTTTATTTGCCATGAGAATTCGGCAAACAGTGTAAGCAGTGTAAGTGCAACATGCAACAAGAGAAATACAGAATCATACGTCAGAGTGCCAACAACATAGACAAAAGAATAGAAGGAGGCCATCCCAATTTGACATGAGTCAATGAAAAAGGCTCCACCATGTGGCATACATTTACTTTTTATATAATCTGCTTCCAAAAGTTTGTGTCGTGGTACCTTTGCTTGTTCCAAGGATCCTAACCTTCTGTTGGAGTGGCTCATGTGTGCAAGTGAGACAGTAAAAAGGCAGGTGCGTGCTTTTATTTGTAATAGATGGCTTAGGTCTCCACGCTCATTGACATGATGGCCTGTATGACCCTTACAGGCCTCCCCCCAAAGAGGGCCTGGCATATTTTTTCTGGCAGCCAGAGCTCCTGTCAGAGGCACGATGTGTAGAGGAACAGATGCCCGCAAGTTTTCGTAGCACAGAAAGCTCCTTGAGCACCCTATACCTTCTTAACGTTGTGCACACCCTCGTGAAAGCACGGCACAGCTTCGGGCATCTGTCTCTTATGTTCAGTGTTAATTCAACCTCTTGAAGTGCCCTTAGATTTTTTTTAATTTTTAGAGATGCCATTGTGTAAATGTGCGAGGAAACCTAAGCTGTCTATTACAAATAAAGGAAGCACGCACATATCTTTTTACTTTCTCACTTGTGCATGTGAGCCGCTCCTACACAAGCTCAGAATCTTTGGCACGAGCAAAGGTACCATGACACAAACTTTTGGAAGCACATTATATAAAAAGTAAAGATACTGCATGTGCTAGTGGCTATTCCATTGTCTCGTATCAAAATGAGGTAGCCTTCTTTGATTCTTTTGTTTACAGTGTTGGCACTCAAACATACAGGTATGTATTTTTCTTGTTGCATATTTGCTGTGCTTATGCCGGTCCTCATTATTTGTTTAAGATCGAAAACTGCGCAAAAAAGACGGGACACAAGAAAGGAACGAGCAACACAACACAGGTGCAGACTTACAACTGAATTTTTAATCTTTCACTTCCTTTAACGAAGGAATGCAATGTGCACGTGGGCCGCTGAGATGCGCTATCACTGGCTCGAATGGGCACGCTGAGGGCAGAAAACCTAAGGACGGTGGCAAGCGCAAGCGGGATAGGGATAGCGAGGAAACTGAGGACGATGGCGAGCGAGCGACTCGTCGAAGCCCTACAAGAAGGCCTGTGTGGTGTGAATGGTGGATTCGCCGTAGATATTGAGGAGCTGTTTTATTTGATACCCCATGATGAACTCTTTGTCGCGGTGAGGAACTGCATCGAAACCTCCGGAACGGTTCAGTTCCAGAATGCCTGTGGTGTGTCAGTAGATGGATTCTTAGAACTTTGGTCCATTTATCTATCATCCACCATTGTGGGCTTCGAAGTAAAGTTTGTAGTTCAGAGGCAAGGCATCTGCATAGGTTCGAGTGTGGCACCAGTGTTATGCAAAATCTTTTTGGCTGCTTTTGACCGTTTGTTAGTGCAAGCACTCGCTGACGACAAACGGGTCCGAGTCTTCAGATATGTGGATGACTTTTTAGTCCTTTTAATTAAAAGTTAACTCCTGGCGTTCTTCTTGAAGATGCCACCAACGGGATTTTAGAAACTTCGTGCCACCTCCACAACCTTAACATTTACAACCGAGCTTCCACTGCGGGAATCTTTGCAATTCCTTGACATAACATTGTCATTCCAGCTGGACCACCTCTGCTGGGAGTACGCACCCCGCTCAAAAAAAGCCCTCCTGCCTTTTGATTCAAGCCATTCCAAAATAGTTAAGAGAGGCATAGTGAGGACATGCCTAAAATCATCACTTGAGAAATCTTGTGCTCACACAGTTCAGAGTAGCTTTGATTCACAGGCCCAACGTTTGTTGAGAGCAGGATTTCCACCTTCCATCATAACGGCGGTAGCAGAGTCTATGTTGAAGGCCTTGCGTATGCGGGCTAAGGAAACAATGGGTCACTTGGAGGGACCAAAAAAATTTGAGGTCATGCCATATATACACGGGGTTTCTCACAATTTAAAAAGAGTCGCTACTAAGTTCCAAGTAGATGTGGTTTTTTCAGCCCTGTGTAAGCTCTCCCGGGTATGCGCCTTAACCTCAGAGCGGATCGCTCACAAGGATGGTTGCAACACCATGCATTACAACCAGTTCGTGCCTTGCTCAACGGGGGTGGTTTACCACGTCCCGTTATCTTGCGGGAAAGTATATATCGGACAGACGGGTAGATGTCTAAATGATAGACTGAGGGAACACGGAGCCTTTTTGAATTCAGCAAGCGGAGCGCACCTTGCCCTACACTGTAAAGAATGTGGGTGTAAACCAAATTTTGGTGCCACTGAGATAAAAGGTCGCAACAAAGACAAACTCACTAGGGAAATTTCTGAGGCGGCCCAGATTTCCTACAGTGGAAGTGACAAGTGTGTTAGCGCACCATCTATTTCATTATTAGACAGAGAATTAGGTTTTTTGTTTACTTCCCAGTTCCATCGCTCTTCTCTCGCTCGCGCTCGCCATCGTCCTCAGTTTCCTCGCTATCCCGCTCGCGTTCACCACCGTCCTTAGGTTTTCTGCCCTCAGCGTGCCCATTCGAGCCAGTGATAGCGCATCTCAGCGGCCCACATGTACATTGCATTCCTTCGTTAAAGGAAGTGAAAGATTAAAAATTCAGTTGTAAGTCTGCGCCTGTGTTGTGTTGCTCGCTCCTTTCAATTGTGTCCCGTCTTTTTTGCGGTTTTCCATCTTAACCCTTTCAGTACCGTAATAATTTTTCATGTAACATCCTCAAAATCCGGAATTATTTTATTCATGCAACCTGTTCAGCCTAGTCCGTAGAGCACAATCATATAAAAAATTTTATCAAAAGCACAGCATAAATGGACAAACAATATTTTTATAAATGTTAAGAAGGGGGCTTCACTGCACGTAATGTGGAAAAAGTGGGCTTCACTGCACATACTCACTTTATTTTATTCATGAATTTACAAAGCAATTCTGTCAACATCAGTACCTAGTGTCTCTGTTCACGAGACTACGGGCTTAGTCAGTCCCAGGACATCCCGTTCAAAAGTTTGCCTTTGTGTGATATGTGCGAAAACACTGTATCGCACACAGGGCGACACCACAGTCTGGGCACCACGTCCTTGTTTCCTTGCGAGCTTTTTTTTCTTGTGCAGACAACGCATCTTCTTGTTGGGCTCTCTTTCTTCTCAGTTGGAGGTAGGTAGTCTGGGAAGTGTCGCTCAGTCAGTCGCGAGAGAGTGTTGTCAGAGAGCCTCCCTTTCTTGGGTCGACTCTGGGGGTCACAGTTCAGTTGAATGAGGCCCTCCACTAACTTGAGCCTGAACTCAAGATGTGTGGTGGTGTTGCCACTCTTCTGGTAGATAATGAACGCATTGTAGATGGCCATGTCTAGCAGATGACGGAACACCTTTTTGTAGTATATTTTCTGTCCATTTCTTGCACAGGGGTAATATGAAAGAATTTGGTCACTCTTGTCAACACCACCCATGGTGTTGTTTTAATTCATCACTATCTGTGGCTTGGACGCAACTTCACCTCTCTGGTTTGTTACATCCACCATTGCCACAGAGTGCACCGTGCTGAGGAAGGTTACCACCTTCTTGTCCTTCCACTGAAGTGAGAGGCACTTGCCTTTTTGGTAAGCTTCAGTTTGACCTTTCTCAAGTTGTCTTGTATCGAAGCTCGGCATTCCCTTGCGTCCAGATCGTCCAGATCGTGCTGTCCCGTAGACATCTGTCTTGCGCTCCAGAAGTGCTTCAACTAGTTCGGGTGAGTTGTAATAGTTATCCACGGTTACACAGTAGCCCTTATCGAGAAGGGGACTCATCAGGGACAATACCACACGTGTACCCATGGCCACATCTGCGTCACCAACAACAGCACCTTTCCCATGTACATAAGCATGTTCCAGATGTAACCACTGGAGGACTCGCACAGCACGAAAAACTTGACGCCAAAACGGGCACGTTTCAGTGGCATGTACTGTTTCCAAGACAGCCTGCCTTTGAAACGAAGAAGGCTCTCGTCAACTGACACATCTCGCTCTGGTGTGTAGAGAGTTTGAAACATCTCGGTCATTCTTGTGAGCACGGACCACAATTTTCTAAGCTTTGGGTTCGGGTGCTTGTCGACTGGCGCCTCGTTGTCAGTGAAGTGTAGAAATTTCATTATCAGCATGAAGCGGTCGCGGCTCATCACGTCTCCGAATGCAGGCGTGCGGAGAACCTCTCTTGTTGACCAGTAAGATTTCACGTCTGGTTTCTCAATGACCCCTGCAGAATGATGAGCGCGAAGAAGGTCATCAGTTCTTTTTTGTCGATCTGTCTCCATGTTTTGAGGTGGGAAGCGTGGTGCGACCGAAGAAACTGGGTTGCGTAGCGGTTGGTCTCTGCGACAATCAGGTCGACCAGCTCTTCATCGAAGAACTGTTCAAAATATTCGACAACGCCGTCACCTTCTTCCAGGTGGCCCTTGAATCCCGGTGATCCCACAAAAGGGAAACGAGGTGGCGCACGAGGAATATCGCCCACGTCGATCTTCGTCCACACACGTGCGGTGTCGAAATCATCATCAATCTCTGTGTCGCTCTCATCTGAAGTCAAATAATCAATCAACGACTCACCAGAATCACTTTCCAATTCGTAGTCGCTTTCACTCGAAGAAGTTTCAGAAACTGCGCGCTGTTTCCTTTTTTTTTTCCTTGTTTCGCAACGCGTGGACACACATCGTGCGGCCGCCCGGACGACGCCATTTCTAAAGTTCAGTGTAGCCAGCAGCCTCACGAAAAAAACGTCTAAATTCAGCTAATTTCACCGGTTTTGACTTCTCCTGCCATCTGTCGGTCGTTCTAAGAAGCTCCGTGATACAGACGAGCTGAATTCGTCCTCAGGATCGTTGTATTGATAATGCGGACTCTGGACGAGCTGTACTCGTCTTCAGGATTATTTGTGCGTAAATGGTGGGCGAGCTCAGCTCGTCTTCCGTACTGAAAGGGTTAAACATGTATAACCAACTAGGCCAACAGAGTACTCTACTCCTCATTATTTGCGTGGCACTTATCCCCTTTTGGTCCTTCTATATCTGTGTACTGTGGTATTACGCAATCAGAAAACAATGACTGTTTGGTTCACCCTTGAACCTACACGACAGCAGACTAGTACCTGGATGAATTGCGATGTGACCAGTGGAACTGGTAGTTTTTAATACAAGTTGTGTCACCTGACATAAGCAGCATGAACTCCCAAGTGCAAGAGGTCATATTCTGTTGTTTGCGTTTCTGTTTATCCCGGTAATACAAATGTGCTCGCTGTTGGTGGTTCCATCGCGGCGCCACATGTTTTAAAACCAGCAGCGTGCTTTGGGCAGCTATGAGTGGAAATCAGGGAGCATTTGTGGTAGAGCCATATCGATATGATATGGCTCTACCACGTAAATGGTGGACGAGCTCATATGCTCGTGACCATGGGGTCTGGCATCTTTAATGCCTTTGCGTTTTGAGTCAGGTTACATGTCTTCCTTGACAGTACCGTTTTATTTCACGTTTTCCTCTTCAATGTGTCCATAGTGTTCCACTGTAGTTGCCTTCACATGTGCTTTCTTCTCTTCTAAGCAGTTTGTTCCAATTTAGAATGTACACCGACTGCTTTTAGCCTTACTCCAGTAAATAAATATTTACTAGAATGATCTAATCAAAACTGGAGGAGGGTGACCAATTGTAAACTTTTCCTTTTTAGCGAGTGGTCTCACTGGGACCAGCTCCTCGGAGCAAGGTAAGCCACATTTTCGTATTCTTGTAGAAGTCATACTTTGCTTATTGCTTGGTTGCATTGAAGTCCAAATCAGCAAATGATAAAAGTCGCAATGTTTCAGTTGAGAGGTCTTCGTGCTGGGCAGCAGCTCTCAAAGTGATTACTTCGAAACTCCTTGGTCGAGCAGATCATTCTTTGGTTCCATCGGCACCCACATCGATCACCCTCTCACCCTAACGTTTTAAGATTGAGAAAGATCAATTTCGCAGCTCATTCTAATATCTGTACTTTTTCAGTTCTGCTATCATTGCAATAGAGCTCACGCAGGTTGGTTTTTAAACTCTTCTATTCTTACTGGTATAATGCCCGGTGGTCAGCATTATGGTTCACGGAGACAGGGGAGTTCGCAAACCCTAGCAACAAACTTTGTTGCTGGTTGCTAGGGCTTGTGAGATGACAAATTGTGAGAGCCTCTGGTCTGGGGGTTACTAGCAACTTGCCAAAATATCCCCCTCCTCTTTTCCCCGATCTTTAAGTGGCAACAACTTTAGGTAAAATTGTTGCCAGCTTGCATTGTACTTGGAGTAGAAGAGCTGAAAAGTCAGCCTGGAAGAAGTCTGTTGCAGTGGTAGAATGAAGAAAACAGTAAGCATATTACTCCAAAGGTGAACATATTTGACAGAATTCTGTCTGGTTGGGTAGAAAATCAGGAAAAAAGGAATTTGCCTACCAAATGTGGAAAAGATCTGGAAAAAGATAGTCCCAACATTTCGAAACTATTTGTTTCTTCTTCAGGGGATGAATAATAATAATAATACTTTTATTGAATGAAAAAATAGCATGTACAGATTCAGGCCTACCGAAGCCTCATCGGGCTTGAAAGGTAGTGCCTGGCAGACAGTGACAAAGTAAAGCAATGACAGTAAAACACAAAAACCCCACATAGATAAATCAAGCTATGACACACACAGAAAAGAAATCTTTATACAATTCTATTTCTGAGCGCTTTTTTCAGTTTGTATTTTGTACTAGCACAAAAAATACTCATAGGAAGCTTGTTAAAATACGAGGGAACATAGTAACGGCGCATGCGTTCGCCATATCTTGTGCTGCACCGAGGTATACAGTAACGTTTTTTTGGCCTTAGGCAACGGGCTGGGGCATAAGGTACTTTAAAAGAACTATTCCAGAAATGACGAAAAAGTACAGTTTCTATCAACAGAGAGTTGAAATCCGGAAAGCATAATGCTCTAAATACGTCAGTATCTTTATCAAGACTTAAATCATAAGAAATAACTTTTAACAAAGAACGCAAAATTGAATTGATTCTTATTTTCCATCGAAGGGCACAGTGGCCGTACACAGTTATTCCATAACGAAGCACACTATAGCCCAGGGCATGAATGATAACCTTACGAACGGATAATGGCATAACGTATCTAACACTGTACATCAAACAAGACACCGCGCGAAGCTTCTTACAGATATGAGCGAGCTGTGAATTCCAGGCAAGATCGCTATCAAAAATCAAACCAAGGTATTTAACTGTAGATGTGTAATTCACAGGGGTACACGCGCAATTAAGACAATTAGACGTGTGCAAAAAAAGCGGAGAAGTGAGACTGACTTGTTTTAATGGGCTATGAAAACAAATTAGTTGAGTTTTTGTCGTATTAATAGAAATTAAATTTGCATCAAACCAGTCCATTGCCCTATTTGCCGCATTTTGAAGCAAAGAAATTGCGTGCAAATACTTAGAAGCGCAGGCTACAATTACAGTATCGTCCGCATATTGAAATATTGAAGTGGGCACGGTACTAGAAAGATCGTTCACATAAATATTAAATAATAAAGGACTAAGTACTGAACCCTGCGGAACACCAGCTTTAATTATCGAGAAGTTACTTCGAAATTGTTCAATCGAAACACATTGGCGCCTATCCTGAAGAAAATTTTGTAACAGCAATAAAAAGGAACCGCGAAATCCCACCATTGACAGCTTATTTAGCAACAGACGGTGACATACACTATCGAATGCCTTACTGACGTCTAGAAATAACGCGCACGCGACTTGATTCCGCTCAAACGACGAGTTCAGCAAATCAGAAAAATCTTCAAGTAACATTTGAGTGCCTCGACCTTGCACGAAACCGTACTGAGAGGGCGACATAATACGATGCTTATCCAAAAAGCGTGTCATGACCAAGCACAAGTGTTTTTCTAACAGCTGAGCAATACCTGGTAAAATTGAAATCGGACGATAATTTTCAATATTATTTCGCGCTCCAGCTTTGAAAAGCGGGATAACGATTGCCGTTAAGGATAAAGGATGTCAGTCTCTTCATCTTTTAGGTGTTACATCACTTTGTCTTTGTCGGTGTTGTTGGGTTAGCTTCGTCGTGCCCTATCCGTTATCCCATTGTGGAGGCCGTTCATATATATCGCAGGAAGTGTCCCTAGTGACCTATTTATGATGTTTGAAGTGTGTTGAATATGCCATGATTCAATGAGCCGCCTCCTACGTAGATTTGGTGCCGTGTCCAGGATGCTTGCGTTCTCAAATGCGGTGGTCGAGGTTATCACAGTGTTCAGCGAAAGCACTGCGCTCTTTGTCAAAGTTTCTCACATCGTTCTTATGTTGGTGAAGCTGGTTGTGAAAGTTCTTTGTTTCGCCGATGTAAGAGGCAGGGCACTGGGAGCATGGGATCTTATAAATGACACCTTAATTGGGCCTTCGCCT